TCTTACTGGAAAAAATCGTAAAAGTAAGATATGTTTAATTTTTCCTATTCGTCCATGGTATGTCAGGGGAAGCGGATTCTGAGAAAATTTACAGTGTTGTATAATGCTGTAGAAAGAAGAGAGAGTGGCTGAGGCATTCACAGCTTGTGTTCCTTCACTACTTTTCCTATACAGAATTCCACATCGAGAGATACATTAGATGAGATCATTGGTTTCCTGGTTCTAGTCTCCTGTGGTTTTAATTTGAGAAACATCAAACATGAGGTACCAAACTGCGTAAGCCACAGCTGCAACAGTCAAGATCTTGCTACCCATTGGAGGAGACAGACGTGGAAACACTAACACAAGATGGGTGGAGGAGACAGACTTGTCAATACTCCATAGAAGGAGGCTGGAGGCGTCTGGCAGGATGAGTACCATGCTTCAGAATGCCATCATTTCCCGTGGCCAGGTGAGCTTGCAGGAAAACTGGTATTGACCGGTGTTTTGGACACGTGTGAGAAACCATTTTCTGGATAAATATCAACGAGGCAATCGAGGCAGAGGGCCTAGTCCAGGAAGTGATGGGAAGGCAGATGTGGCGCAGATGAGGAGACAGAGGAAGCTGATGTTCTTCTCTTAATAGGATGCCCTTTAAAACAAGACGTCTCTTGAAACCAGACTATTCTTCAATTTCCTTCCGGCAAGTGCACTCCATCTTCCTGGCAATGCTCGAGTAGCTGCTTTATCAGATGTTCTTTTTAACACAACTCATCACATATTATAGTCTAGTCCACTTAGAAACAGGTGATCACTAGGACCTGGCAGTTCGAATTGGAAACAACCATAGAAGTCAGTTAATTCAACTTTGTGTTAATTTCTTCTTGCTGGTAAAGTAAACTACCTAATGTCTTAAAACCACCAGGATACAGCGGTATAGCTGTGTAGGTCACGTGTCCAAGATCATTTCTCTAGGCTGAGATCAAGCTGCCCACAGGGCTGGCTCCTTCTGGAGGAGCTTATGGGAGACTCTGCCTTTCTCCACTTCTTGAGTATGCCTGCCTGCCCTGGCTTGTGCCCAGCTCCTCCCATCCTTGAGTCGCACCCTTACCACATTGCCTTCTCCTCCAGCTCTGACTACTTTTAGGTACCTTTCATGAGGACAGTTGTGACTGTGTTGATGCTGTCACTTAGTCTAGAATAGTTTCGTGTGTCAATTGTCTTAACCTCAGTGTGTTTGTGAAGTTCTTTATATTCATAGGTTTTAGGGTTAGCAAGTAGACATACATTGGGGAGGCATTATTTAACATGTACAAACGTCCACATTTTTAAATAGAAGAGTTTCTGTGAGCTTGATCTAAGGCCACACACTCACTAGCTGTCATCGCTAGTGACAGAGTGGGGCCGATATACTCATTACTATTGCCTACCAGTTTTCTTCCAAATAACCATGATGTCAGTCTTCATATTTCCCATGAAGAGCTCGTACTCTTTAGAGGAAGCAAGAGCTGCTGTCAGCTGAGCCTGGGCCCCAGCAGAAATATATCCACAGGGCAGTTAGGGGCAGAGACGCACTTCACTTTGAAAGGATCATCAAAAGAAATAAATCAATTTCTTTGTTACACCATAAAGGGCTAAAAAACAAAAACAAAACAAACAAACAAACAAATAAACAAACACTTCCTTGAATGCTGAAGAGATTGGCCAGAAGGTTATCAGGAAAAACAAACACCAAGAAAGGACACAGAGAAAAGGAAATGTTATAGCTGAGGTGAAGTTAAAGAAGAAAAATCATTTTATCTGTTTTATAATGTCACAGTTGATATATATGTAGGCATACATGTGTGTGTTTTCAAATAAGTTATTTCTAAACATTTTCTCTTCATTAATATCTACATTACAGTTTACCTTCTATACCACATTGTTTCAACACAATTGATCAATATATTATCTCTATTGATTCACCCCCCTCAACTAAAGTCTACTCAGCACTGTAATGGAAGCCTTGGTTTTTTTGTAAACTCAATTATGTTATGTAAATATGTTTTTGTTTTAATCCCAAGTGTGGGATTTTAGTTGGGCTCTAGTTTGTCCACAGCTGTGAATTGTCTCCTGTAGGGCATGGCCCTTGAAAGCTGTTAATGGCCTACCTCATGCAGCACAGAGAGGGGCTTCGAGGTTATAAATATGAGAGCCCCAAAAGAGAAGAAAGTGGTGTGGTGGTGGTGGCCTGTGGTGGGTGGCAATGTGGAGAGACCAGAGATGGATGGTGGGGCGGTTTGGAGCAGACCCATGAAGAAAGACACCAGGCGCAGCAGCTTGGAGGAGACTGCTGGCTACATTTGCTGTTGACAGAGATTGGTATAGCCCTAAAAGAACTCATCAACCCCAAAGAGCCAGCAGTAAAGAGGTCTGCACCCCCCCCACACACACTAACCTTCTCCCTATTACTTAAGGTTTGGGAGAAGAAAGAGGCTTTAGGGAACCACAAATAAAACAGTCTTAAAATGAGTGCTACACAACATTGCAACAATCGCTTACATCTTGTATACCATGTAGCACAAACAGGGGCTTCACAACACCTTTAGTCATTTTAAAGACAGCGAATCAGGTATATAATGGTACTGTTATTTGCATTTTTTATTTTTAAAGATTCTGGGGAAATCAATCTAATTTTGTACTTTAACTGAAAGAAAGGCTTCAGGCTACTATAAAGATAACATTGTTTTTGAAACTAATAAGGAAAGTGATGATAACTAAGAAATAGCAAAGGCATATTGACATAAATTTGGAAAGGCAATACAAGAGAATGAATAGAGTGTTTGGAAGGAAAGGGAAGGCTTTACAAATTATTTTTAACTACAAATAGAATGAGGAAAGGAGAATATAAATTATCCCACATTATTATATAAGAAAGCATTTCTGATCAGTGATACTAAAATAGAAACAAAAGTGCTTCATCATTACAGAAAAGTAATCTATAAAAATTTTGGACAACATTAAATAGGGAGAAGCGAAATTGAGTGGAAAGAATGTGGCCCATTACCAATATATTTGCTAAGAAATATGGAATTGTTTTTTTACTTCTATAGACATAATTTTGTATAATTTCCCTAATTGCTTTGCATAGAGATAGCTTTTATGTTACAATTTATAGAAAGGTCATACCCCCCCCTGAGATTCAGCATTAAGCATGTTTTAAGAACATAAAAGCTGTTTAGTCACGTTAGCAACCATTTTAATACCTGTTAATAGACTTCATATACAACAGATGCTCGGTAAAATTATGACAGGTACCATTAATATTAAGACTGAACATGTTTTCTTTTGTCATGTCAACAATCTTCAAATTTTAATTTATTTTTCTCTATATAATTGCTGTTCAAAATGTGTGATCTCTATTGATTCATTCTCCTCTCTGTTAGATTCCACTCTGTAGAGGACCAACAGTTCCATCTCGTCTGTGTCATGTGATGGGAAAGAAATATGAGAAAGTAAATAAGAAGGACTTATGACCTTCCTATAAATTGCAGCATAGGAGTTGAAATAAATCTCCGTACATTTCTTTTGGTTCCACCTAACATCTGTGATTGTCTTGCTTCTCGCCACAGGCAGGATTTAAAATAAGGCTTGTTTCCAAGCAGTATTGAGTGGAGGAACATTAAGTAGGTAGGTCCCAAGAAGATGCGGGTACTGTGATGACCACGCACAGACTCAAAATTCTGTGCATTGAACACCAGGAGCCTTTACTCTATTTTTATCTTCCAGGTATTTACTTCCCAAACAAAAAGAGATTCCGTTGTGAAAAACAATGAATTATATCTAAGAAGAAATTTCCATATCTTGCTATATAGGAATTTCACCCAAAGCAACTGACTCCAGTCCTGATTATTCTGTAGTGAGTGTCATCTGTAGTTAATCATGGTTGCATAAGCTCTTTAGGTTTTTGCTGTAAAACAGTAATTGAAAGCAGACACTTGCCAGACATCCCAAGAAAGTTTCCAATGTGAAAGAAACAATTAGACAAAACAAAGGAAACAAGCCCAACTCTTGTAAATTTGTATCATTTAGGAAATAACTCCATCTTTCTTCTGCTTTCCATTCACTCATTGAAATTATCTAAACTTTCTAACTGCTAGTCCTGTTTAGTTCTTGCAAATAAGATTTTATATCATTTTTAATGGGCAAGTTCTATTCTTGTATCTTTTTTGGGAAGTCTCTCTCTCTCTTGTTTTATGCCCAAGACTGTACCACAATAACCCACCTCTTCTATGCTAATTCATGTCTCCCTGACTGTCTATCTGTCCCATGTGGGCTTCCATAGCATGAAGAAGTACCTAGTACTGCCCTCTTCCACTGGCATGTTGAGTGAAATCTCTGGGAACATCTATATTCCCACTATTCCCTTAAAATATTTTAGATGAAATTTTTAAATTAAAACAGATCTCAGTTGTTAAATGAAGCCTGACATATGAAAACTCACCTTAAAACATAACTTCAAGTATACGTTTTTTAATTTTTTATAGGTTTTAAAGGAGATAAAAAAGCATAATTACTCTCTTGCACTTATCCTTCAGAAGTAAGCATTCTAATTTGTGAGCCATTAGGAGCCCCAGTCACAAGAGAAATGTCATCAAGGTCTAAATTGCAATAGGAAGAAATTTTCAGTCCACTTGAAGTCTTCATTGTTCTCCATCTGAAAGTTGTATGTAAGTCTCCTTATTTTTCCATAAAACTGAATTCATATAAAACACATGCTTATGAATCAGAATACTGGTTTTCAATATTTAATTTTAGTTCCCCATTTGACTGATTGGATGATGGCTGTATTTGCCAATGTAGGCTGATGCCAATGATGATAATGGGCCAATTTGGGGATGGGCATACTAACAGTGATTAAAAATAAATGAAGGCTTCTGAGGTAAGATGGCAGAAATGGGGAAAGTAAGGACAGCAACAGAAAGAGCATATTCAGAGGAGAGAGGGGAAATATTGGGATTCAAGAACAGTGATTGACTCTTTTCTTCCTGGTTCATAAGTGTCATGTTAGAGTACTCATACCATTTTGTGATATCTGCCTCCCTCAAATTTGTTGTAACATCAGAATATTATGCCTCTGGCACAAAAGAAATAAAAAAGGCAGGGGGAGGTGACAGGACAGCTCAAAACCATGGAGAAACAAAAAGGTGAGGAAAACAAAAATGATTGGAGTCCAGAATGCCAGCCCTCATTTCCCAGGTGGAAAAGCTGAAGCTGAAACCGTAAATGAAGACAGGCAGGCCTTGTAAGAAATATTCCAGCTATACAAAAACCCCACAGTTCTCACAAGGCTTAAGTCTAGCCGAAGAATTAGGTCCCCCAATGGCACCCCTGGAGCAGCAAGCCTCAACTGCAGAAGAAACTCATATTGTTGCTCATTGTACCTCAGAATGCTACAGTCACACATTACCCATGGGGAGGGCCCCTTGCTTGACTAAGCTATTTGGGGTCCTGATAGCAAAGAACAATCCCAATTCAGGGGACCCCCTATCACAGATACAACAGTCTGATTGGCTATTGTAGCTGGGAAAGGTCAGACATTGACACCCCAAGGCGTTAAGTAGCCAAGAACTCGAGCTATGGAGCAGGTACCTGGTGGTGATGGACCTTACTTTATGGTCAGAAATGGGGCCCATCCCCTGTGTATTACTGTACAGACTGAGACCTCTGAGTTGGTAGCTGTCAGATTGCTTGGCCTCCAGAGGCACCTCACTGCTACAGATAGTTTGTTGCTGTATGGAACGTGGAGGTATAGGCCCAGGACTAGGGGTTGGCTAGATCTCTCAAGCTTCCTCTCTTAACATGAGGGCTTGCTGCTAATGGGAGCTAGATTACTGACAGCAGGAAGCAAAATGATAGATTCTCTTGGTTGTCACTCTCTGTAATGAGGCTTACTGCTCAGTTTTCTCCCCTGACTCTCTTATACCCAAAGGGCTCTCTTCAGAGCTTCAACAGACTCTGCCACTGCTACCCAGCACAGCTCTGCTAGACCTCGAAAATTCTAACACCAGAGGAGTCAAACAAGCAAACAAACAAACAAAACAAAGAACAAAAAAAGAAAACCACCACCAATGATGACAACAAAACCCCTGTTTTCTTTTTACTCTATTTTTTTGTATTGGTTTGATCATTTAATGTTTTGTATTAACTTTTTTATTCCTTTGTATTCTATCAAGCTGTATTGAGGAATTTGTCTTTTTTTATAATCAGATAGTTTAAATCTTGCTTTCCCTTACATTCTTTCCCTTTTATTCTCCTGAACCTCATTTCTTTTCTTTTGTTTTGTTTTTTTTTTTCCAGACAGGGTTTCTCTGTGTAGCTTTGGCTGTCCTGGAACTCACTCTGTAGACCAGGCCGGCCTTGAAAGCACTGCGTGCTGGGATCAAAGGTGTGTGCCACCACCGCCTGGCCTTAACTTCATTTTTTATTCCCTGCCCCCACCTCCATCCTTTTATTACTATTACTTTAAACCTAACTATTTAAATTCATAAATCAGTCTATATTATTTTTAACACCTTCTTTTCTGTGGTTACTTGTGGCCTAACACTTGTCTCTAATTGAGTATCGTTTATTACATTAATTAAATTAATTAAACTTGAATTTTATTGTATTTTATTTGTTTGGCTGTTGCTGTTACAGAAGCTGTTCTTTCTATGTGGTAAATACTGTCCATTGAGCTCTCAAGAGAAAGCTGCTTACTAGGAAGACTCTTAGCCATTGCTAACAAATGAAAAAGAGAGAAGATCTACATGACAGACAAGGGAGGTATTGTGACAGACACCCACGGGATCCAGAAGATCATTAAGGAATAGTTTCCACCAATATTAAACAAAGGAGTCTTGAAAACATACATACCAATAATCTTGAAAAGAATGGGAACACACATGACCTTCCAAAATTGAACAAAGAGGACATAGAAAACCTAAACAAATCTTTAATGAACAATGACACTGAAGTAATAATGACCTCTCAACAAATGGGGAACTCAGCTCCAACTTCACGGAACATCATCCAGACTCTGCAAACTGCTCCATAAAACAGAAACAGAAGGAGCACTTACACGCACATCCCACCAACCCAATATTACCCAAAACCAAATAAAGGCACCGCAACACAAAAAAGAAAACGATAGTCTAACTTCTTAAATTAATATAGAGAAAAATCTTCAAGAAAATATTTGCAAGCCAAATTCAATACCATATCTTAAGACCTTCCTATGACACGATCTAGTTTTTATTCCAGGGACACCAAGTAAGTGTAGTAAAACATACATATATAATCAAGGGGGAAATCATATAATCATCTCAAGAGACACAAGGAAAGCACTTGACAACATTAAATATCCTCTCATAATAAATATCCTGGGTGGGGGGAGCAGAAACATTTCCTCAAAAGTTAGGAATAAAACCTTTCCACTCTCATTCAGTATAGTGCTTGAAAACTTAGCCAGAGCAATAAAACAAGAGAAACAAGCAAAGAGAATACAGAAAGAAAGAAGAGCTAATGCTATCCCTATTTGTAGGTGACACGGTCTTTTTTACTTGTTTTTATTTTATGTATGTATGTGTTTTGCCTACATGTATATCTGTGGGTGTCAGATCTTGGAGTTACAGACAGCTGTGACCTGCTATGTGGGTTCTGGGAATTGAATCCAGTTCTTCTGGAAGAGTAGCCAGTGCTCTTAACTTCTGAGCCATCTCTCCAGACCCAGATACAGTGTTAGGCTAAACACACTACCCAAAGACTCTTAGTTCGAATAAACACTTTCAGCAAACAGCAGGACATGAAATAAACATGTAAAGCCAGCAGCTTTCCTACATAACTTGTTGTGGAAAAAAAATCAGTAAAGAGATTCCATTCACCACACACACACACACACACACACACACACACACACACACACACAAACACAAACACATACACACACAAACACACACACACTCTTATACATACATGCATAAACACTCACACACATAAACACACACTGTCACATACACACACACACACACACACACACACACACTCAATAAAATACCTAGGTATAAATGAGGATATGAAAGGCAACTTCAAAATGGTAAAGAAAGAAATTGAAGAAGACCCTAGAAAATAGAGAGGCTCATGTGAAAATGATTATATTACAATCTGCAGATTCATGCAATCCCCATTAAAACCCATTGTGATCTGGATTTACAGAAATAAAAAAATACTAAAATTCATAAGGAAGCACAAAGGACAGTGAATAGCCCAAGTAATACTTGTGGTATTACAAAGCACAGTTTAAAACTATGCTGCAAAGCTGTAGGAATGGAAGAACAGGCAGTGTGGTGCTGGCACAATGTACAAAGAAACCACCGGAACAGAACAGACCACAGCTTCAACTGTGGGTTCACGCGGGGTCACATAACTGAATGTAGATGTGGCAGGGGAGAAAAAAAGCTTGAAAACAGTGCAAGGTTTATGAACACTCAAAAAAATTCAATTCAAAACCAAATTGGTAATGGATACGAGGCATTTCTGGAAGTGCTTGTCCATTCTGAATCACATGACTTCACTTTAGCTGTGGTTCTCAATCCGTAATAGGTGCAGTTGGAATGCAACAGAGTTTTACTCCGCTGTAAAGAAGAAAATTATTCCGTTTATAGGAAGATGGTTGGAACTGGCAATCATCATCTAAGGCAAAAAAGTCAAAACGGAAAGACACGTAGCACATTTGTTGTCAAATGCAGAATCTGGGTTAAAAATGAAAGCAAAAAGACATGGAAGTTTAAGAAGGACTGTTTGGGAAGAGTAAAGGAACCGCGGTGCTGGGGGACTGTGGTGGTTTGAGTAAGAGTGTCCCCCACAGGCTCATATAGTTGGATGCTTGGGCAGAGGAGGTGTGGCCTTGTTGGAAGAAGTATGTTATTGGGGTGGGCTTTGGGGTTTCGGAAGCCCTACTCAGTTCCATTGCCTTTCCCTTCCTGCTGCCTACACTTCATGCATCGGAGGTAGAATTTTCAGCTACTTCTCCTGCACCATGTCTGCCTTCATGCTGCCATGCTCCCTAACATGAAGACCATGGTCTAAACCTCTGACGCTGTAAGCAAGCTCTAGCTAAATGCTTTCTTTTTTTTTTTTAGCATTTCCATGGTTATGGCGTCTCTTCACAGCAATAGGATACTAAGACAGGGACAAAAAATAGGAATGGAGGGATATGTTAAAAGAACATCACAACATACACATGGATGAAAACGCCAATAAAACCCAATTGTTCTATACAGTTAACTAAAATGACACCTAAAACGAGAAAAAAATAAAAGCAACTGAATTGGTGTCAAAATACTACTCAGTAGTATCAGGCAACTAATTATCATTTTAAAGATTCTTGCACGCCTGGTGTGATTGATTGGCTTACACCATTAATCTCCACTCTGGTGGCTGAGGCAGGAGGGTTGCTAGCTTAGCCTAGGGAGTGAAACCTTGCTTAGAAGTAATAAATCTTCCCAAATGCAATTTCCATAACAGATATCTATAGTAAATATATGTGCAGCATTCTAGAAGAATGCAGGAATTTAAATGTTTCCTGTATGTATGGAAATATCACTCTTAGTCCCATTCACTTACACAATCAATGAGAGTAAAACAGAAATAGAAAACACTTCATACTCTCCACATTAATGAACAGTATCCCCGAGGTTCTAGCCACTGCAGTTAAATGCATTTTTTTTTTAAGTGGATGGTTTCTGGTATTTACAATATATGAAATATATTGCTTGTGGAAAGTATGATTATGCAAGCCAGCCAATCTGATGATCATCAGTCAGAATGAACGCGGCGATCCAGCCATGCTTAACCAGGATTACGGTTCGGACCGGACCTGAATGAAGCCGAGACCACCGGGCTCTGTCACTTCTCCCATCTCCCTTCCCCCGACTGAAGCCTCCGAGCCGCAAAGACAGCTGCTGCTCCGGGGTTTCCAGCGCGCTAAGGCAGGGGTGGGACGGCACTTCCGGCGGCAGCAGCAGCACCGGATGTCAGTTGAAGTGAGGAAGTGTGGGCTGAGGTCGGTCGGCAGGTGGTCTCTGCCCGGTGTGCGGTCTTGAG